TTCTCTGTCTCTCTCTCTCTATATATTCCTCCCAATATCTCTATTCCCTTCTGTCGCTCTGTGCAAGATTGCAGTTTATCTCTTTATTTCAGATCTCACCTGTGCGGCCATTATGCGCTGTCGCTCAAAAATTAGAACGCACTTAGCACACTTGCAGCTTTTGTAGGTGCAGAGCTTTTTGTGGCCTCGCAGCTCGGAGATGATGCCGTGATTGCGACAGCGGGCGCACTTTGGCACACGATTCGAGGCTTTGGGCAACTGGGTTTCAGCGAGTTTCATAAGCTTGGAGCTAGCGGCGGGTCGCGGTCGCTTCGCATTAGTTGGGTTATCATCGGACATATTACCACGCAAAAGGATTCAATAGTAAACTGATAATTATTTAAAGTTGCGAGCGTTATTTGTAGCGTGCCTAATGGCAGGCGAAAAGAAACTACATTTTGGAAACACTTGCTTTATGTGCAATTGTTTCAAAGGGCATATTCAATTTAACGACTTGTTTATTTACGCAGGCGCCTTGGCAAAGTCCTGTCACTGCAAGTCCTCGACAACACGATTGGCGGTTGCTGACAATCTTAGCTCCACCTACTAGGCGTGTCTAAACTCGGGGTGGCTTAAAATCCTATTCTCACTATACTAATACTATACTACTACAACTATAGTATATTAACGATTTATGTAAATTAATTTACGTTTAGAATCTTAACATTAGAAGACGTTAAGTGTGTGCTGTAAAGGACCGAAACTAGGACACCTATCATATTTGCTCCACAATTAACAGTGCTCGCTCCGCAGCTTACAGCGATATCAATCGATAACTAAAAAACAGTTTAAATAAAAAAAAACAATATCTATCCCCTGATAGCTATCCAAATAATTAATAATGTTACCATGCTCTAACGTTATGAATATGCTACCTTGAAAATTTCTGATTTGCTGCGATATGTAAATGCTGTTATTAACATACATATATCGATGACAACTATTGCCAACAGTTATTGAATAAGAAATTTATCGATATTTTGGTATTACTTGGATGATGCATCGCTAATTTTAGTCAGTCGGAAATCATCTTCGAACGTTAAAAAATGGATCGGTAGCTAAAAGAGATAATTTAAAGCGAAAAACGCAAAGAAAACGGCTTTTGTCCGCTATTTCAGCGATTTTTTTTGTGTTGTAATCAGCAGAAAATTTTTAACAACAGTTACAACGACCAAACACCACCAGTCAATCCCAGGCAATAACCAACAGGAAATTTTGCAATATTCAATCAAATTTTACTGCAACTAAAACAAAATCAACCATATTCAATCACCCCCAATTCATATATACCTAGATAGCTACCACAAAGGTAAAAAGCAAAGAGGAATCATTTAAAATTGAAATAAATAGAAGGAATATTCAATTTTTTGCTCGCTTTTGCCAATGTGATGAGAAAATCCAGCAACAATACCAACAACCACAATTACCAACAACCGACCGACAATAGTGCAGCGCAGTCGACGTCAGCAGAACAGCAGCTGCCAAACAGTGGCTGAAAAAATTGTTTTGCCTAAGTAAATTTTCCTGCGACGATTTTTCTTCTTTTTTGATGCTGCTGCGCAATTCGCAACGACGCCGACTGCAACTACATCAAGTGCAGAAACTGTAGTAGCAAAAATTCAAATCACACAATTAATTTCTTGGCAGAGCAGCAGCAGCAACAGCAAAATCTTTTCAATAGCCACCATTTTGAATGAGCGCAGCAACAACACCTAACGCCGCAGTAGAAGAGAGAGAGAGCGAGAGCACAACGCAGCCGTTGCAGAAGTAGCAGCAGCGACGTTGACGTCAACGCTGTCTTATTAGCACCGTGTAAGAGCGCAAAGGAGAAGACGAGCTTGCAGCTCTGAGACCGGAAAATTCTCAAAAATACGGTGCGTGCATTTGCTTGTGGTAGGGGTAGAGAGACTGTGTGAGTGCCAAAAATTAAGGGATACAAAATCGAAAGGCAGCGCCAAAATTATGGTTTTGCGTATTTTGGAAGAGGAAAATGCCAGCACAGCTGCTGCCAAGGAGTTTGCGTCGCTGCGACGCAACGCCGGCAGTGGCAGTTGCAGCAGCGCCAACAATAACAACGCTAGCGGCTCAGCGGACAGCGGCGTAGGCGGCAGCTATGTCTCTTGCAGCAACACGGACAACAGCTGCAGCCAAAGTCAATCAGGTGAGTGTTGAATTTCAAGTTTTTTCTTTCTACTCAACTCCTTTGCTGCAACTCTTTCGCTCTTATGCTCTTTGGCTTTCCCTTGTCAATATATAACATTTTTAAGCATATAATGTGGCTGTGGGACCACTGTGCGAGATGTGTGCACTGAAACTTTATTTTGCAGCTGCCACGCACAGCAGCAGTGTGCGAGCAAGATAGACACAGGGCCCTTCATCCCTTTATCTTGTTCGTTAGCTGCCCTTGTGTAGATATATATGTGTGTATTTGGTGTCTACTTTTCGGCTTCGTCTTGTCTTCGGTGAAATGTTTTTATGCTGCTGTTCGTGTAATGTCTGCCACTTGGTTCTTCTTTCTATTGTTTAGTTTCGAAATTGTTCTGGAAACGCAATGCACTTGCCTCAGTGTGCGTGCGTGCGAGTGTGAATGTGTTTTCCAATTTCTATTACGCATTCATTTTCCGTACTATATATTTATAGTAATGCGGCCCCTGGCAACAATCCATTGAGTGGTTTCTATTCAGTTTCCTTGAATTTATTTGTCTGTATGTAGGCATCCCTTGAAATCTTCAACTTTAAAAATAATGTGCATGAATGAATGTGTGTAGAATGTAGGGTATGTTTGTGCCTGCGTATTTCGGCATCAAGTTGATTGCCCGTAAATTGTTACACATTAGCTATATAGATTCCCGCCTCTTTTCAAGCGCCAGTAGGCTTCGGCCAATAATATATCTGGAATATTTCAGCAAATAATCCTGTATATTCTAGTTTATAAAATACCAATTGTCTAGGATTATGTTTTGTATGGAAACGAAAGAAATAATTATTTTCGAAAAGAACTCTGCGCAGATATATATATATATATATATATATATATATATATATCTAATTTCTAGAACCTACGACGCATTTGAGTTTATTAATATTTACAATCGATTGAATTTGTTTGATTTTTGACGGCAATATGTTATAAATTTTTATTTGCTTAAGTAATAGTTGTCGCATTTTCATGTCATGTTAGTCTAGACCTCAGGCGCTTTCTATTATATTACCTAAACAACGTGCACACATAAAGAAATTAATTTATATGAATATATATTATAGAAGACACGTATCATTTTTCTAGATTGCGTTTTATCAATTCCTGTGACGTCAATAGCTACGATTGCATCACTTTCAATTAAATGAAAACAAGAATGTTTAAATGTACAACATTTGAGATATATATAATGCTAAAAAAATATGAAAAATTAATGATATTCAGTTTTATTTTTGCATATGGGTCAAGGAAACCAAAAAAATTAAGAAATAATTATAAAATAAATCAAAATAAAATTTATAATAAATCTTTGACACTATCGACAATCAATCGCAGCAAAACAAGGAATATAATGTTTGGAGTACATAAAAAATGTTTTAAAAAGTTTCACATTTTTCAATAAGAATTTCGTCATAGGGTATTTACATTGCGCCATTCGTTTATTATTCTCTGTGTTCATATCTTAAATATTTTTTTGTACATGTAAAGCCATTGGCATTTATCTTTTGGGCTCCCTCTTACTCCAACTAATCCTCTCCCTGAAGTAGTAAGGCCCAAGTCCTCTCTGCCTAGCTCTAGCGCATCGTTCCCATGTAGTCTAACATTCAAAAATTAATAAACGACTGGGTTATCTGTGGAAAAAGTATGGGAGAAAGGCCAATGAAAGAGTGCCAGCGATAAGATAGGGAGCACATAGACTCTCCCAATGCCGATCGACTAACAGCTGGAAGGAAATGCGCAACACATATAAACAGCTTCGACAGCTGCCCTGCAGAAGAGGAGACACAGATAAAACCGAGGAAAAAACTTTCTCAGAATTTTGTCTACCAGGTCTGGCAAAACGTGGAAAGAAAGGGAAGGGTTGGGGCGGGTGTGGAGTAACGGCTGCGCCGACTGAGTCAGCGCCGCGTGGGCAGAAGCGTGAAATGAATTATTGTTGTTGTTTCTGTTGCTGTTTCTTTTGAGCTAGCTGCGCGCCGAGGCTTATTTCCGGAATTGACAAATTAACGAAATTCATTTGCATTTTTATAAAGTATATACAAACATATATGTATGAAAAAGAGAGCTGAATGCGTGAAAGCGAGATGGCCATATGCTCAACTATCTTAACTGAGTGTGCGAGCAATTAATACAAAATGATTCACTGTGCGAGCTTTTTTCAATACTCGAAGAGCTTAACAAATGAAAACGGATCACAAAGTGTTAATAAACTGTAAAGCGAAACTAGCGAGTGCGGCAAACAGCGACTGAAACTGCAATAGCAACAGCGCAGCGACTGCGCATAACCTTGATGACGTTTATTGCACTTTGGCGCTGCAACCAGCGGCAGCAAAAGCAACTGCAACAGCAACAGCAGCGACTGCAGCAAAAGCAGTGGCAGCGGCAGCAGCAGCAACCCAAAATAGAACGACAGTCAAAGCAAACGAGCAAACAAAAATGAACGAACGCTGCGAACAAAGACAAAGCGATGAGCGCAGCGGCCGCCCGCTCTCAGCCCCCAAACGCTGCCACGCTCCAACGCTGACCGAGTTCGAGCCGTATGCCTGCTGACGTGTAGCGACGTCGCTGCCACTAGTGCAACAGCAGCGGCAGCAAAGACTGATGATGACAAACCTTAAACAAAACAAAAAAAAAATAATAAATAAATATTGAGCGACAAAAATGCAATGAAAATCACGTTTATCAGCGCCTTAACTGAGCTGAATGCATATCAATTGCATTGAAGGCTATGTGTGTGTGTCAGCGGGGGAGGGCAGGGTATATTCAGCAATTTGAACTGCACATTGGATGCAAGCCTCTTGTGAAAAACGGGATTTGGGGAGAAGGCAATGACGAAGGCGTCGTTTGTCGCTGTGTAATTTATTTTGCAATGAAAGTTTTTTTCTGATGTATATATGCATGCAAATGTACCTATATACGTATGTATATATATACATGTGTGAGCAGGCAACACTTTGTGGGTGGTTGTTTGGCCAATTGCCACCATGCGTTGGTCTATGCCATGATTAATGAGTGACAGGCAAGCAGTATTAAGTATATCATCATTATTGTTATTCTCAACCTTAGCTCAGGGGTTGCCTTGTTTTTTATTATAATAAAATGTGTGCGGGTGCGTACGTGCAGCCTCTCACACGCATTTCCCCCTTACACAGGCAAAAACACACACACACATGCATCCGTCAAAGCATACATGCTTACTATATTCGTATATTATATGCATGTAAATGTCGGCGCTGCCCTGCAATGTTTTTTCTTGCATATGGCAACGCTGTAGCCATCGTGCAATGTAGAAAAAAGGTAAAGAAATTCCATCCACACATATATTTAAGCAAGTTGTTTTGAGAAAACAAAGCACCATTTAAAGTAGTTTTTGTTGTTTTAGCTTTGCTTTTTTGCCCTTCCACTTATTTGTTTTTGAACGCAATTCGCACATCAGGCGATGATATTGTTGCGCTTGTATTAGTAAGTGTGTGTGAGTTAGTGTAGATGTTTGCGTTAACCTCGTTTTTCACGCTGCCCTCAACAAAAGCACGTCAGCAGCCTACGTGATATTGAGCTTGTATGTGTACCACACACTCAAATTCAGGTACAGGCAAGCGAGTAAGAGACAGAGAGATTGAGAGAGCAAATGGCAGCGCCGCGTCTGTGTTTGATTCTGTCTTTCGCTCGCTCATTCGCTGTTGGCGTTGTCTGCTTTTTGCGTGGTCATACCGGTCTTTTTAAATGCGCTCAATGTCTACACGCGCGCTCTCTCTTTCTCTCTCACTTACGGTTCGGTATAGCCACCTGCTCTTCATGAACCCCGCATGCCCGTGTTGGGGCCACCACTTGTCGCTTTTGTTGTTATTTTGCTGTTGTTGTTTGTATTTTGAGCTGCAGCGAGCGACAAAGCGGCTGTCGCCTTTCGGCTCAGCTGGTTGTCGTTTAACTCTCTCACTCGTGTGTTTGCTTGGGCAGCTCAAAATAAAAACAAAATAACAACGTGCTTTGTTTCTCGCTGAGTTGTTCGATTATGTCAGTCTCCAAAGTTTCGCCTGTTATCATCGTCAGCTGCCTTCTCTTTCGTGCTCTCCTTCCTTCTTTCACTCTCTTTCACGCACTCTTTTGTTTGCTGCTTGTGTGTTTGTAATGTAGATTTCATTATTTTTAATAGAACGCAATTTAAATTCGTTAAACATCGAACACGATCATTTTCCGTTTCCCACTTCACACACGCCCATGCCATGTTGCCAAATTTCATACGCTGTTTAGTTTCGCTCTTTTGCGCTGTGCAGATTTTTTTATGTGACTAAATACGTATACATATGTACATAGTATGTACGTCTCGACATCGATTCTTTTAATTGAATCAAATTGAAAAAAATTTCCATACTCATGTACTCTTGTTTTTATTGCCTCCAAGAGCGGTGGGGGTCAATATTTATTAGGTCTGCACTTTTACAGATTACTTAAGACCAAAATTAAACTTTTTTAAAATCGGCTCCTAGTAGCTTCCGTCTGAACATTTTTCTTCAAAATTAAAGTTTAGTGTGTAAACAAAAAGCGCATGTATGGTCACAGATTTTTACTTATTGACATAATGTACATATGTGAACCGAGTTGTTTGAACTGTATGCATGTACATGTATGTATTTCATATCTCTTAACCGCACCAAGTGTTAAAAAGTCACGTAAGCAGAAAAAATATGCACAAACATTTGCTACGTTAGCGTGCGTTAACTCGCTCTTTGGCACGTGCGAAGAGCACGCTGTTCAGCATAAATATTTCAAAGCTCTGTACGCTGCTGCCCTTCTCTCACATATTACAAGACAGCAGCCTGCTAGCAATACTCTTATTAGAAATGCGATTGGCCTCAGACTTTCCGCTGTACTGTGCTTTTTTGCTCTCTTTTGCTGCTCTCACACGGTCTCTCTCGTGTTAGTTTTTTGGCTGCTGCTGCCTGGCCTGGGCCTGAATACTG